ACTAACATTTGTTGCTTTCTAGCCATACTAATGGGAACGAGGTAGAATCTCAGTATCACTTTAATTTGCAATTTCATTATTGCCAAAGATATTGGGCATATTTTCCTTTTGAGAAGTATCTAATCAGTTCATTTGCTCATGATCTATTACACTTCCACAATTTTGTTACTTAAGAATGGTTTTAGTTTAACTGTTCACGTTTACATGGTAAGAAATCGTTGTTAAGATATGAAACCATCATGCTAGTGGAATTTAAATGAACACTTGCCCCTCCCCAGGTTCAAGAAAGAAATGGATCTGTATTCTTAACATGCATCATTAATGAGTACTTCTGAAAAGTGTCAACGCTTTCTCAGTTTTCATTAAGCTTGTTTCTGTTATTAATGTTTGTTTCAACCCTTTACTTCGTGTTGTTGTTGTTGTTGTTTTCCTTCTTTCCTTTCAACACTTGGGAGTTTAGGAGGAGGCAAGAATGCTCAATAGGAAATGTACTCATTACCTTGCTCATGTAACTATAACCCCTCTGTACAACATTTTTACGTTAAAAAACATACATAAAAGGAAATAAATTCCTTGCACAGATCCTCTTAAAATATAATTTGAAATAGGCATATTAAGTTGATATTTGCATGGTGTAATACACCACAGCCATTAGACCAGCCAGTGTTACTATCCATAATTAACAGTATACCAACCTTTACTTTCACCCACTAAGGGAGAAAGATTTGAATAAATACAAGATCAGTGACCTCATAGATAGTCCCTTCACATGATGATGCATTTCAAAACAGAGTTAGACTTACTTTAACTTTATAATGTGTAGCTATGCTCATCTCTTTGTAGAAAAAGACAAGCTTTCTAAAGCAATAATGATGTTGAGGTTGGCATAAAGTAATGCTCATTGTTTGATGGTTTCCAGTATTATGGTCCAAACTCTGGGCCTTGTACTTGCTTACTTGTTTGGCTTGTTTTCTCAACTGGTGCTCTACCACCTGGGTCATACCTCCAACCAAGACTTTTGTTCATTATTTTGGGCATGAAATCTTGCTGAGTTTTCTCCCTGGACTGGCTTTGAACTTCAATCTTTGCACCAGACTTCATGTACATAGTATATAGGCCATGTAATTGACCAGTACCTATTTCAAGTATTTAGAGACTGTGTCCAATAAATTGTGTGTCATGTGAATAGTCACACTTGGATATAGGCAAAAGCCAGGTCATTAATATTTCCTGATGTCCATTCAGTCTTTAAAACATTAACAATAGAAAATTCTAGGCTGCTGAGTGTATGCAGAATATTCAGACTATGTGGAAGGAGGTGTTTTGCTTTGAGAATTTGCTTAAGAATTCTAGTGATAGCAACAATAAAAATGCCTTTGAAGTACATTTTTATGGACAGGAATCTCTGTAGAAAGGACTGACAGCACAGTCTAACCAAGGATGCCTGGACAAACAGAAAGAATGATGAAAGATTGAAGTAGAATACTAGAGTCCAGTATTGAGTTGTGAGAAACAGACTATTTGGGAAAAGCTGTATTGTCATAGCAACAGGTCCAAAGATACAATGTCCCTGACTAGGAGACTATGAAAAGCAGTAACTTAACAAAAAAACAAAGAGAATATTTTCTAAATAGTTAAGCATAGATGGAAGAAAATAAAGAACATTCAAAATGCTACCTTTTTTGTTGCTCTAAAATGATAGTGCTTTAATATAGTGAAAAGTGAAAGATCAGATTCAGTAGATAGCATAGAGGTTGTGCTGAATAACTTTCAAGATGAAAGCATTACCAGGAGACAGTATTATTCTCTCTCATTTTCATCTGAAACCTAGGAAAAACAATTCTTTAGTAACAATTCTTTTAGACATTGCCCAATAGGCTCTATTTAAATTCTAGCTTTATTAGTTATGAGTTTTATACATCCTAGAAGAAACATCATATTGGCACTAAAGCTTTCTTACCCCTACAATTCAGATGCTAATACAAATTTCATGGAATTATTTTAAGTTTATTTTACATGTAAACAACACTGGCACAAAATGAACTCTAGCCAAAAAATAATAACTACCATCAAGAGTTCTGGCCGAAGAGTGAGGGAAATCCTACATCACAAATAAAATGAGACTCAAAAGTTAAATAGTTTGAAATGCTGATTACACTTTACTGATAGGAAATTAAAAAAAAAAAAAACTTCTAAGAGTTGTTAGGTCTCCAGAAACAGACTAATCTGAAAGTTATTCAAGATTAGGATTAAGAAAGCAACAATGCCTCCATAACCTAAAATCCAGTCTTTCCAGGGGGGAGTTTAGCTGCAAGATGGAGAGAAAGTGGGATAAAGCAACGCAAGATGGAATAACAGACAGGAAAATGAAAAAGACAGAACGGCAGTGAAGATCTGAGGAAATTGTGCCAGGCCCCTTTCGGGAACAGGACTGATTCCACACCATTTGCCTCAGCAAGAGGAATTTTGTTATGTCATTGTTGAGATTTCAAGAAGGAAATGTTAAGCATCTGTATTTATAGTGTGAGATGTTTGTAGTTTTTATGCTGCCAACAATGTAATTTCTACTAAAAAAAAACTGAGAGAGAATGAGAGAAGGGGTGAGGAAATGTACCCATTACCACAATAAAATTTAAGGAAAAGAACTTTAATAAAAAATTTAACAGATGAATGGATAAAGAAAATGTGGCGCATGGGGCTGGGAAGGTGGCTCAATGGTAGAGCGCTTGCCTTGCATGCATGAAGCCCTGGGTTCGATTCCTCAGCACCAAATAAGCAAAAAGAAAAAAGCCAGAAGTGGTGCTGTGGCTCAAGAGATAGAGCGCTAGCCTTGAGCTGAAGAGCTGAGGGACAGCGCCCAGGCCCAGAGTTCAGGCCCAGAGTTCAGGCCCCATGACAGGACCCCCCCCCCCCAAGCCAAAAAAAAAAAATGCGGCGTATGCACGTGCATATATACATAAAGTATTATGGAAATTCTACCACTTGCAGCAAAACGTCTGAAATTGGACAGTATTGTTTTAATTGCAATAATTGCAATAATCTAGACAAAGAGTAATAGCTATCATATGTCCTCTCTCGTATTTGGAATGTAATAGAGAAAACAATATCCTAAATATCCAGCACAGATTACTGGAGGTTGAAAAGGCGAGAGAGGCTAGGTTGGATCAGTGCATGCCGTGTGCACATAGGTAGCATAATGAAGATTTTGTAGTAATATTCTAGCATTTACTTATATCTAACATTTTATAGAAATAACATTTTATTTTCTAAGCTCTTTCATGATGAAGGACATTAAAGTACAGCTATATACATATGACCATATAGGATGATGTTAAGCGAAATGAACCCCAAGATAGGGACACATACTTTTTTTTTCTTCCTTGCTATTGTTTCCACCATATTTATAATGTACCATGTGATATTGTTGTTTCTTTGTGTGTTCCTCCCTCAAGGTATAACCCCTGTTTTCACTGTATTTGATGTCTGTGCACCGCATCTTGTATATACACTTCTCTAATTCGGGGAGGGGAAGTGAAAAAATAAAATGCTTAAATAGGGATACAGGTTGACCCATTGTAACAATGAGATGTACAAGACACTATGTTGAAAGCGAACTTTACAACTTCGGCAGGGGGAGGAGTGGTAGTTGTGGAGGTGGGAGGGAAGGGATGGGAGGGGAAAAACAGAGGAGGAGGCAACAATGCTCGATAGGAAATGTACTCATTACCTTGCTCATGTAACTGTAACCCCTCCTTACAGTATTTTTACAATAAAAATGTACAAAAATAGATAAAGTATCTGTGGTCCAAGTGAGTGCGTTATGTCATTGCAACATTGACAAAGGTAACTAGAGTTGGTTTTCGTTGGTATTGAAAATATTTTTAAAATGGGATGTTATGAGGGGGCAATAGGGGCAGAGAAAATAGGAGAAAAATGAGGGAAGAGGTAACAAGTTTACAAGAAATATCCTTATTACCTTTCATAAGTCGGGCACCAGTGGCTCACGCTGTAATCCTAGCTACTCAGGAAGCTGAGATCTGAGGATCAACGTTCAAAGCCAGCTGGGGCAGAAAAGTCCATGAAACTCTTATCTCTAATAAACCACTAGAAAACTGGAAGTGTTGCTGTAGCTCAAGTGGTAGAGCACTAGCCTTGAGCTGAAGAGCTGAGGGCCAGTGCCCAGGCAGAGAGTTAACCCCTTTGTACATCACCTTGATAATAATAAAAAATGTGATGTTAGTTTGTTAGTTTCACAACAGTGAACATGTTCAACAACCATAGATTGTATGCCCTTGATGAATAAAACATATATTGTATGTACTGTCTGTCAGTAAATGGTTTACCAAAAAAGTAACGTATCATAAAAGTTTGGTCTTGATAGCTACCACTACAGGTTGTATGAAGAAATTTTGGTTCCATTGTTATGTTTTAACAATCTAAAAAAGAAAACACCGCATCTCAGTTGCAAGCATGATGCATTCAGCCCACCCCCAGCGCCAGCCTCCGAATTTTCAAGGTCATCCAGAGACTCACCAATGTCCACTGACTCCCTCTGGGTTTCTGTTCTTTTTCTCTTGCCACCAGCAGCTGTTTAAGGAAAGCCGAAGTACAAATTCTAATTGTTTGCTGACATAAAACACTCTAGTCACTAACACATGCTAACCTTTCTCTGCCTTCATTGCTTGGATGGTAGTCATTATTGCAGAGTTTCATAACGCTAACATTTCTGGGTGATTTTCTACTTGCTCATTCTCTGGATAAGTGTAGTTCCACTGCTCAATGGATTGGGAGAAACTGGGATTCTCTGTTACCCACTGTCTGAGATACATTCTAATATAGGAAGTGTGACCAGAGTTCACAGTTAAAATACTATGAAATTATTTGCTGCAATTGTATTTGTTTAGGTTAGAGCCCTCAATTTTACAGATTTTAATCTTAATATTTCCTCTTCTCTTTCCTGCTCCCTCCCTCCCTCTTCCCCTTTCCCTTTCTTTCTCTAGCTTTAGATCCAGCTAAAGATCCATGCTTGAAAATGAAATGTAGTCGCCATAAAATGTGCATTACTCAAGACTCTCAGACTGCAGTCTGTGTTAGTCATCGGAGGCTTACACACAGGTAAACACGGTTAAATTAAATCCTACCAATTGAACAGTACTTCTTGCCAGAAATCATGGTGCAATATAAATATTTGGCAGTGCCTGCTAATCTTTTATGCAGCGTTTTGTTGAAACAATTTCAGAAGCTTGGATAACATAATTGTGATTCACTTGGGCTAAATATTGTTATCAATCAGAATTCCTACGGATTATAGGATTTCAGACATATATTATTAAATAAAATAGACTTGCAATGCTTGGATTAAAACTGTTATATATTTGGCTATTTGTGCTTTGACAAGTTAAAAGGGTAAATGAAACTTCTGTACCTCCAGATATCCTTGTTTATGGCTAGTCAAGTTTCTCTGTTTCAGGGAGGATTTGGAAATATAGTTAAAGGAGGAAAATTAGTTTATATTGATCACATTACAAGCATTGAAAGCCACAGCATAAAGAATTGAACTGGAACATTAAGAATTTCTGCATTAGGAAGTTCTTATTTCAACTGAAGGAAATTGCAGGAAATCTAAATGGAGGAAATCCAAACAGGTTCCCTCAATTTATTCTCAGAAGTCTAGAGTAAAATTCCTGCAGAAGAAGGAAGGATATTGAGCATGTTTCACAACTACCATTGTTTTGGATGGCCAGGTCTGCTTTGAGAAGGAAGAGTAATTCAGAACTTGATAATGCAGTTTGGTGCTGTTTATTGAGGACTGGAATAAGCTATGCTCAATGCAGTCACTTGGGAATCGGCTGAAGCATAGAGATGTATTCGTTTCCTGTATGACATAGACAGGAATTCTCTTCGGTGAACCATTCCTTTAAAAATCAAATTAACAAGAAAATATTGCTACTTGTGTATTCTTGGAGGATAATTGCATTGCTTTTGAACTGGCATAAAACTTCTATCATCAAAATTCACCGAGAAGTGGAGAAAAATTGCATTAAGTAAAAAAAAAAAAAAAAACTATCAATTGCTAGAAAGTAGAAAACATTTCAATTTAGGGAAGAGATAGAAGTAAAGTTAAGAAAGAAAATTAATTTTCCTCTGGTTTACATGCTGAATTCCACATTGGAAAGGTCTTTATCCTGTAACTTCGTATCTACAAGGGCAGATACCCAGTACCAAGGGAGATAGGTAGTAATGGGAGAGAAAAAATCATAACACACTATCAGTGTAATTGTAGAAGTAAAGGAAAGAAACACAGGAGAAGGAGAACAACAGTCTAGTTTGAAATGGGAAGAAAGAATGACATCTTAGCTATCACATTTCCATAAAGTCAGTGGATATAGGGAAGGTACAAAAACAGTTATCAGTAATTTTCCCCATCAGTCTTAATTTCCTTTACAAAGGAACAGAAACCTCTAGGCCACAAATGTTGTTTTCAGCTTAATTTGTTATGATCCCAAAGGGCTCCTGCTTCACATAGAATTCTTATTGATTAATTTATTTTTAAGTAAATATTACTGGCTGCTGATAGCTCATGCCTGTAATACTAGCTAAACAGGAAACTGAGATCTGAGGTTTGAAGTTCAAAGCCAGCTTGGCAAGAATGTTTGTGAGACTCTTATCTCTAATTAACCACCAAAAAGGTGGAAGTGGAGCTGTGGCTGATATAGTACAGTGTTAGCCTTAAACACCCCACCCCCCTCAAAAAAAAAACCCAAAACCAAAAAACAACAAGCCAACAACTTAGGGACAATGCTCAGGCCCTGAGTTTAAGCCCCAGGACCAGTGTATGTTCATGCGTACACGTACACACACACACACACACACACACACACACACACACACACACACACACACACACACCAATATTTAGATATATGTGGGGAGGAGATTGAAGAGTTTAGTTTGAGAAATCAGTAAGAGGAAGATGCAAATGACTTCATGTTTGATCCTAGCCTAAGTGGCAGAGTTAGCCAAAGTGTTTAATTTAGAAGCAAAATTTATTTTATCACAGATTCTATAATCCCCTGTAAACGTTGCCATCTAGAATGTAACCCCGTGGAAAGAGCAAATTAACAACTCCAAATTAATATCATGTTAGTGGCAGAGACTTACTCCTTTGGCCACTTGCTAAAACCTAGATTCAAAATTGTCAAGGGAGGAAATTCAGAACAGTAATTCTTAACTATCTTTATTGTGACCAAAGTCTATTCTTTTAATAACCAAGCTGTCTCCTTATAAAGACTTAACTGTAGACAGAAACTTTCTCTACATGGTAGAGATAATCAGAACCAATAACCAAAATATTACTTAATATTCCAGATACCAATAATCAATGTAAAGTGCTAAAACATCCTGAACAGAAACCCAGTAGAAGCTTTGTCTCAGGAAAGAGTGGAATGGCACATTAAAGGGCACTAATAATCTCTAGCTAGGCAGATATCAGTGTTTAGTAAAAGTATGATTTTTTTATTGTGAAAATACTGTACAGAGGGGTTACAATTACATGGGCAAGATAATGAGTACATTTCTTATCAAGTATTGTAGCCTCCTCCTTTGTTTCCACTTCCCATCCCTTCCCATCTTCCCCCGCCGCCTTCTCCCCCCTCCCCCCCACCAAAGTTGTAAAGTTTGTTTTTGACATAATGTCTTGTACATCTCATTGTTGCAATGGGTCCACCTGTATCCCTATTTAAACGATTTGTTTTTCCCCTTCCCCTCCACAAATTATACCGACAGTCACTATCAAAAAACTGGCACTCAGTGTAAAGTATACTCAGTACATAAATAATTGCTTTGAAAATCATTGGTATTAAGATTAATACTGGATATGGTTTATTTGCTTTGAGGATTTTTGTACATAGTGAAGGTTTACACAATACTTACACAAAGAGGAGTCAGCTGCCAGGAAGTTGGATCAATAAAAGCCAACATAAATAATCTAAGCCTCAACATTTGCAGACAGGATTGTATGTTGTAGTTGTGCTATTTGGGGGATATATATATATCCCCAAATATAATATATAAGACTACTATATATATATATATATATATATATATATATATATACTATACTATATACTAAATATAATATATAAGACTACTATATATATGTATATATATATATAGTAGTCTTAGGGTTTTGAACACAGGGCTTTGAGTTTGCTAGGCTGACCTGATCATTTACATTATCTACACAGGAAATTGCTACTTATATCAAATAACACTCTATTTTCTTCCTTTTATTTCCTCTTAATGAGAAAGGAAATGGGAGGCAGTGTTTACTTCTATGGGAGTGAGGAAGATCTTGCATTACACAGAGGATTCTCTAAGCTGTTTCCCCCTAAAAATAAAAGAAGAAATTACACATTTTCTCCATTAACATAGAATGTTGAACTACTTACTCTCTAATGATTTATCTGACATCAGTCTCCTTCAGTTGACTTGACATTACTTGAAGGTCAGGTCTATGTCTTGTTCAATACTACCGACTCAAATGTTACAGGCCAATTATATATTCTTCTATGTGTGGAACACTATGTGCTTAAGGGTTTTTTGGTTTTTTTGGTGTTTTTTAATTCCAGTCCTGGGGCTTGAACTCAGGGCCTGGGTACTGTCCCTAAGCTTCTTTTGTTCAGGCTAGCCTTCTACCAGTTGAGCCACAGTGTCACTTTGGGCTTTTTCGGTTGAAGAATCAGATCCAGGGCTATATATATGCTAGACAAGCACTCTATCACCAAGCCACATTCCCAGCCAAGTTTTGACAAGTATTTGATCCGTGAAATGTTTAGCCTAGATCAGTATGTGTATGTGATCTATTGTTTCCTGTATGACTTGTGCATAGGTGTGGAAAGTGAGAGGAGGTATTGGAGGTGACTAACATTTACTTTGAAATAGTTTTAAAGTATTTTATTCAGTTCTTTAAATGCAAGAATGCACTAAGTATACAGAGAAAAGGAAAAGGAGTCTGTAAACACGAAATAGAAGAGGAGAAATACACAAAACATTGGTTTCAAAAAAAGGGTAGAGCCTTGACTTGCATTTGTAAGAGATTGGATAATCAGCAAGTTTTTTTCTGTTACAGTGCTTTAAAAAATAATCATCCTCCAAAAATCACAGAAATATCCCTATTATGTGACCCATTACAGGTTTCATTCTAGCTCTGTCCACTACTACCAACAGAGAGGGTAATATGAACCATCCATGAACATCAGAATCTAAGTCATGTATTTGAATTTGTCTCCTAATGAGATTTTCTCTAATGATTTGGCCTCAAAGCAGCACAATATTTATGTTTTAGCACAGACTTTCTGTTACCATTATCATTACTAGCTAAACCACATAATTTCATCAATAAAGAAGATTTTCATGCACCATCTTTTCCCATAGAGTGAAATGACCATCTAGTTTGATAGTTTATTATAAAATCTATGATGGAATTCTCAGACTTTACATATGATCTGTTGCTTATATTGTTACCTTGTGTGTGTGTGTGTGGGGGGGATGTTTTACAAAATCAGAAAGACAAAGCTTTTTTTCCCCCTGTTTTTTTTTTAATCTATTGTAAGTGAGATCCCAATGCTTTCTGCTCTCACCCAGGCCCGTGCAGCTGCAAATAATTAACACTATTTCTAGATCAGTGTGTCTGGCACCAATCGATGCTGCTGGGAATAAAAGAAAAATGTTTGGCATCATAGCTCAAAGTTGAAGTCATTACTGTAGGACAGAACTAGTCAGGGTAATTTCTCCCCCATTTACACCAAAGATTGGCAACAATGCCAACAGGTAAATACTCTTGGCCTCCTAAGAAGACATCACACAAAGAGGGAGGGAACTTACAAAAAAATAGATAGCAAAAGAACACAAGTCCTAAAACTCTGATTTTAATTACACATTTTGGATTTTGTAGTTGGTGAGAGAAAAAATCCAAATTTCATTACATGGTGATATGAGCAGAGTATTTCTGCTTGCATTGTTCTATTATGGTAGTATTTAAGATATGAAGATTAAATCACAGAGTCGTAGGTCCTATGGAGTTACTAATGTTTATTAAATTGAAATGAATTTAT